CCGGGTCTGTACACCTGCTGTGCCCATTATGAGGGGCTCCCACCATCCCTGAGCTGAGTTTCCGGGTCTGTACACCTGCTGTGCCCATTATGAGGGGCTCCCACCATCCCTGTGCTGAGTTCCCGGGTCCCATTATGAGGGGCTCCCGTTCTCCCTAAGTGAAGCTGGGGGCTCACACCGCACGCCATGCTCCACGGATTAGTAAACTATCACCCTCCTGTGTGTGACTGTCCTCATGGGATGGATCTGGCAGTGCGGGAGTTAAGTCTTCCAGCGATATGTGGAAATGTTGCCAGAGGCGCTCAGAAATCCCAAATCACAACCTCGGGAACGAGGGAGATATCGGCCGCTATGGGAACTGATAACAGCGGCTGGGAAATGGGACCTCACAAGGACACGGCCAGGGCCGTAGCCGGGGTGACCCCGGGTGACACAAAGCTTCACAACAAGAAAAGACAAACTGATGGCTCCCAGTTGTTGCCTTCATATATTAAGATGCCAACCCAACCCATGCCACGTGACACGCCCACCTCGGCTCTGTCATAAGGGGGTTCAGCGGCCCTTGCACGAACCACTCCATTGGGGTACAGATGCGTGCCAGGCTTCAATTAGCCCAGAGCCAAAATAAGTCTCGCCCCCCCCCACCAAGATACCCGGTCTGTACAGGCTCTGCGAGTGTCCAGCAGGTGAGAGGATGTGCATTGTTCATTCCCCGAGCACCAATGGATCTCCCCTGTCACCCTATAATCCATCTTTTTTAGATTGTAACCCCCCAGGGGCAGGGTGGCACAGATGCCCCGCTGGTGCCTCCAGGGTGGCAGTAGAACTTCTGTGCCAGCGGCGGTTGGATAAGCCCCCCGAACACCCCGCTACACACCGGGCGCCCGGGCCCCGGGAACGCCATGGGCCCCGCTCCCTGCTCCTGCTGACCGGGAGACCCCGTGCCGCATCAGCTGGAACAATGCAGGCTCCCGGCATGCAGCGCGCCGTCATTAGCTCCTCCTCACCCTCCTCTCTGTGTACGTTCATAGCCACGCCCACGTCCTCTAAGTATTCCGCATGGACACGCCCTTCTCTCGCTCACAGTGAAGATATTGCCCCGCCCATCTGCACGCCTCAGGCTCTGAGGTCCTCCCCCTGTTCCCAATGTATACAGCTGGGGGGATGGGGACCTGCGATAGAGAAAAATCCCTCACCCCCTCCCTGTATAATATACACCCCCTCCCTGTATAATATACACCCCCTCCCTGTATAATATACACCCTGTCCCTGTTGCTATGAAAGATGTCTGCGTTGCCCATAGCAACCGGTCAGGCCCGAGCTGTGGCTTTTTATAATGCTGTCCTCCTCCCCGGCGATTGGACTCCTCAGGCCTGGCGGGATTTCCAGCTGCCATGGAAACCAGAACGGATGTTCCAGACAATGAGGGAGTTTATCTGAACTGGAGCGGAATCCGGAGCAGTTGCCATGGAAACCAGTCAGCTTCTCTCTTTCATTCCAATCAGCTCCAACTGAACAAAAAAGCTGATTGGTTGCCATGGCAACAGCTCCACATTGTGTCTGCTCCAGTTTTCATAAATTCCCCCCCAATATGTCCCCAAACACACAGCGGGAAAAACGTCACATGACCCACAGTATGATCATGTGGCACGAGTACAGGATCACGTGACAAGCAATCCCACCCAGAGGCACTGTGAAAAGCCTGCTGAATCTGCCCGTCATAGATCACGTATGACCGGACTTCCAGGCACGGAAAGTGTTAAATGGAATCTCCGCCGTTATCCGGAGCGATCTGCAGCGCGCACACATCATAAAACCATTCTCACACACACACGTGTGCGGCGCCTCCGTGTCACCGCCAGACAGGGCGCGCGTGATGAAGAGATGGCCGGGAGCGAGATAAGAGGGCGCCTGTGCCCCGGGGGGACAGCTGGGTGGCACAGGGCGGCGCCAGGACTGCGTGGGGCGGCGGCCAACGAGGCGCTGTTTGCTGTGTGGCTCCCTCGCGGTCCGCACACACACACACCATGTGTTCCCGTATCAGCGCGGAGACGCACGGCGAGCATCTGACAGGCGTTCAGACAATGAGCTCCGCTCTGAGTACACAGACTTATCTCGCCACGCCGCGTGCGCTATCGCCTCGCCATCGCTCTCACCGCACGTTCACACGTTATGGGAGAATGCTTCACCATCCGGGGAGTGCAGAGACATGAAAACGCATTTTAGCCGCAAAAATATCGGTTCTCCGGTGAACGGCGTTGGCGAAACTGGCGTGAAAACTTCCTCCTGCCTGCAGCAGACTGATGACTGGGGGAGGGGAGGCTGAGGAAATGCTTCCTCCTGCCTGCAGCAGACTGATCACTGGGGGAGGGGAGACTGAGGAAATGCTTCCTCTAATATACACCCCCTCCCTGTATAATATACACCCCCTCCCTGTATAATATACACCCCCTCCCTGTATAATATACACCCCCTCCCTGTATAATATACACCCCCTCCCTGTATAATATACACCCCCTCCCTGTATAATATACACCCCCTCCCTGTATAATATACACCCCCTCCCTGTATAATATACACCCCCTCCCTGTATAATATACACCCCCTCCCTGTATAATATACACCCCCTCCCTGTATAATATACACCCCCTCCCTGTATAATATACACCCCCTCCCTGTATAATATACACCCCCTCCCTGTATAATATACACCCCCTCCCTGTATAATATACACCCCCTCCCTGTATAATATACACCCCCTCCCTGTATAATATACACCCCCTCCCTGTATAATATACACCCCCTCCCTGTATAATATACACCCCCTCCCTGTATAATATACACCCCCTCCCTGTATAATATACACCCCCTCCCTGTATAATATACACCCCCTCCCTGTATAATATACACCCCCTCCCTGTATAATATACACCCCCTCCCTGTATAATATACACCCCCTCCCTGTATAATATACACCCCCTCCCTGTATAATATACACCCCCTCCCTGTATAATATACACCCCCTCCCTGTATAATATACACCCCCTCCCTGTATAATATACACCCCCTCCCTGTATAATATACACCCCCTCCCTGTATAATATACACCCCCTCCCTGTATAATATACACCCCCTCCCTGTATAATATACACCCCCTCCCTGTATAATATACACCCCCTCCCTGTATAATATACACCCCCTCCCTGTATAATATACACCCCCTCCCTGTATAATATACACCCCCTCCCTGTATAATATACACCCCCTCCCTGTATAATATACACCCCCTCCCTGTATAATATACACCCCCTCCCTGTATAATATACACCCCCTCCCTGTATAATATACACCCCCTCCCTGTATAATATACACCCCCTCCCTGTATAATATACACCCCCTCCCTGTATAATATACACCCCCTCCCTGTATAATATACACCCCCTCCCTGTATAATATACACCCCCTCCCTGTATAATATACACCCCCTCCCTGTATAATATACACCCCCTCCCTGTATAATATACACCCCCTCCCTGTATAATATACACCCCCTCCCTGTATAATATACACCCCCTCCCTGTATAATATACACCCCCTCCCTGTATAATATACACCCCCTCCCTGTATAATATACACCCCCTCCCTGTATAATATACACCCCCTCCCTGTATAATATACACCCCCTCCCTGTATAATATACACCCCCTCCCTGTATAATATACACCCCCTCCCTGTATAATATACACCCCCTCCCTGTATAATATACACCCCCTCCCTGTATAATATACACCCCCTCCCTGTATAATATACACCCCCTCCCTGTATAATATACACCCCCTCCCTGTATAATATACACCCCCTCCCTGTATAATATACACCCCCTCCCTGTATAATATACACCCCCTCCCTGTATAATATACACCCCCTCCCTGTATAATATACACCCCCTCCCTGTATAATATACACCCCCTCCCTGTATAATATACACCCCCTCCCTGTATAATATACACCCCCTCCCTGTATAATATACACCCTGTCCCTGTTGCTATGAAAGATGTCTGCGTTGCCCATAGCAACCGGTCAGGCCCGAGCTGTGGCTTTTTATAATGCTGTCCTCCTCCCCGGCGATTGGACTCCTCAGGCCTGGCGGGATTTCCAGCTGCCATGGAAACCAGAACGGATGTTCCAGACAATGAGGGAGTTTATCTGAACTGGAGCGGAATCCGGAGCAGTTGCCATGGAAACCAGTCAGCTTCTCTCTTTCATTCCAATCAGCTCCAACTGAACAAAAAAGCTGATTGGTTGCCATGGCAACAGCTCCACATTGTGTCTGCTCCAGTTTTCATAAATTCCCCCCCAATATGTCCCCAAACACACAGCGGGAAAAACGTCACATGACCCACAGTATGATCATGTGGCACGAGTACAGGATCACGTGACAAGCAATCCCACCCAGAGGCACTGTGAAAAGCCTGCTGAATCTGCCCGTCATAGATCACGTATGACCGGACTTCCAGGCACGGAAAGTGTTAAATGGAATCTCCGCCGTTATCCGGAGCGATCTGCAGCGCGCACACATCATAAAACCATTCTCACACACACACGTGTGCGGCGCCTCCGTGTCACCGCCAGACAGGGCGCGCGTGATGAAGAGATGGCCGGGAGCGAGATAAGAGGGCGCC